TAAAACAGCGAACAGCGTTTACGTCCCTGGTATCGGGTCGGTCCGTTACCAATTTTAACCCAGAAATCTATTGATCGACTCCAGACTGTCCAGAACTCAGCTGCCAGGCTTTTAACCTTGAGATCCTCGGGCAGAGGTCTGTTGTCTGTTCCAGAGTCTCGACTGAAAACTAAAGGGGACAGAGCGTTTGCTGTCAGGGCCCCGAGGCTCTGGAACAGCCTGCCCGAGGAAATCAGGTCGGCTGAGTCAGTGAACTCTTTTAAGTCCCTTCTTAAAACATACTTTTATAGGAGAGCCTTTCCCGATCTTATGTGACTTTATTTTATCCCTTTTATTTTATTGTATTTTACTAATTTTATATTTATCTTAAACATGTATTTTAGTCTTTTCAATGTTTTCATCTTTTTTTTTTATCTTGTATTGTTTTGTATTATTGTCTCTTGGGTATTATTGTCTTTACACTTGTTAAAGCAATTTGTAACTTTTTTTTGAAAAGTGCTCTACAAATAAAGATTGTTATTATTATTATTATTATTAACAGAGATGCCTTCACTTGAAAGATATGCCTTCTGAGGCAGCTGTCTATTACGGTACCGAGGCAGCGAGGCAACTGCCTTCTGTTTAGAACACAGCCATAGTTGCAGCAAATAAACAACAACTTGTCTGTTTTTTTAAGTGTGTTGAGAGCCTGGCTTGCTGTTTTCCCCTGCCTCTAGTCTTTATGCTAAGATAAGCTAATTGCCTGCAGGTTCTAGCCCCCATGCACAGCAGTGGTCGACCAATATGGGTTTATCAATGGTCGATGCTGAAATTTAGAGAGGAGGGCAGCCGGTAGCCGATGTATAATGCCGAAATCAAAAGAAAGAAAAGTCATGTATAATTGCATTATTACGTGCAGAATATATGTACATGGTTATCTTAATTACATGTTGTTTTGAATGGAATTTTTTATTAATTAATGAGCTAGAAAAATACACTGAGTGTGGATTTCAGAACGTGACTGGTGTTTAAGGGAGAGTGGGGCACAGTTCTGTCAGAAGTGACGTCATTTAACTGCATTACTTTCTTCAGTATAACAAAATATATTAGCTAATAATGGTCTTAGATTAGATTTGCTGTCATTTAGGATGGGAGAAAGTTGGTAATATTTACAAAAGACAATGGTGACTGATGAAATTTACTACACCAAACATTGATCATGCTGCTTGTAGCTGTGTCTGCAGACAGTTTTTGTATATCGGCAGTTTTAGTAGCCTAAACTTAATCAAACGGCATTAAAAGTAGAGGAACATGTTAGTTGACAGCCAATATTTTGTGCCAAACATATACATCAGCTATTTACATTAGTATGGGACTTGTTTGTATCTGTACGCCCTCTCTTACTACACAAACTCATCTGCACTTATTTATTTAAAGTCATTCAGACCCGTTCATGGTGATCCAGATGTTTTTGGCACTCGACTCCATTAATATTCATATGACCTCCGGCTGAACTCTATTTCTTTAAATATTCCAGAGCAAGAAAAATATATTTATTTGCAGCTTTGGAGGGAAACTGCACATCCTAGTGACATAAACGATAACGGTCTTGTGGTTCGACACCAGGAAAGAACTGACATATTTCTTCTCACTGCAAGTATTCAAAGGAGCTTGATGTTTTGGCTGAGAGTTAAAAGAGTGGAAGCCACAGCATTGGACCAAAGTCAAACCTGTTAAAGTAGCGTGAAAACACATTAAAGATGAACTTATGAACCTTTACGTGATTCACATTTGTTTTTTATGATAAATCATTCATCAAAGATATTTAAATTATATAGACTAAAAATGTTAAGTAAGTTGAGTAATGATTACTAACATGTTCCCTAGTCATCATACAAAGGCTAGGCTAACTGTTGCTGACATGCATGAGTTACGTCACTGTCGGTACATGCAGATTTTAAATGCGGCTATTAACCCTTCTTCTCTCCTAAGTTAGGGCATAAACTCAACACTAGAGGCTGAGTAACTGCTAGTTAGATTTTAACAAAAACAGTAACCAAAATTGGATGCACCGTGGTTAATGTTGGGTATGTACTAAATGGAGTTCCAAAGTCTTTGAACATCTACAGATAGTCTTCAAAATGCATGTAAAATAGAGTCAATTTGAACCTAGACGAATTTTCAACTGCAAATCACCACAATCTTTATTAATGGGTTGGACTGTGACTTTACATTCACAGATATTTGAGTAAACTGTCTTATCTGTTTGATTCATAATTTCATCTTCAGTTATTGCCACCTGCATTTTGTCCCCATCAGCTAAATAAATCCAATGCAACATACAGAAGGATATCAGCACTTTATTAAACAATGGATGTGCTTCACTGAATCAAATGTAATAGTGTTAAATCATTAGTCCTTCCTCCTCTACAGTTTTTTAAGATAATTGAAATTGTAGTAAACCGACAGTGTGGATTTGTGCAGTTTATATTAAATAAGTTGGAGACTCAACTCCTCTTTTCTCTCCCAGAGAGATTGAGGAGAGGGGTTGAGACCAATCAGTCTTTGTTTTGTGCCACGACATCGATTTTTCCCTCGTTTAACAGCAACTTTACTTGTTTTTATTTTCTTTCTTTTGTTTGTTAAAAGTTCATTAAGTTACACTAGTTAATTCAAGAACGACCAAGTTCTTTTTTTTTAAGCTTTATACATCGAGCTAAGCCCACGGAGGTCGGACACCGCCAGGTGGCCTGCCAGTAGTAACAAAGGACAACTTAAACCTGACCCGAAACAGGGCTGGGAAGGCCCCCACTGCAAGTTTCTTCAATAAGCCTCCCCGAGACGGACCCCGGAGCAAAAAGCGACTGGCCGGCGGCTTGAAGCTGTCCTAAACGAGAACGCACGGACTCTGCCAGTGTGAGGCCGTTTACCAGCAACCCGCGGGGAGAAACACAAGCAGTAAGACCAAACAAAGCATTCTGTGGTCAGGGATGTCCCATAGTGCTAATATTGTCTCCTAAACTCATAGCTTACATTCATTAGTTCTCCTCTGCCGTATGAGTCAAATCCTCCCACAATCGAACCTCCATTCTCATTGTTTAGCCATTGTTTATTTCTCTGATGTATTTAACCACCTTTTTATCACCTTAGTTAGTTAATAAATTCTCTGTAATCAAGGAATTGTGTGTATTGTCTACTTCTAAGTACCTGCCAAGAGAATTTACACAATTATTTTCTGAATATTAAAATTCATAATTGGTTATTAATTCTCATAAATGTATTAAAATTCATACGTAGTTTAGACATGCTACAAAATGGTCCGTGTTAATATGAATTCATATTTCTAGCACCACTGGATTAAAATGGAGACTTCGCTCTTTATTTACTCATTGCCATGGTGAATTGTAGTTTTCTTTTCATTCCCAACTTACTTTTACTTATTCACAAACTTCCTTCAGATGCCTTCAGATCTCCAACCCTAGTCATCTTTCGTTCATCTAATGTCCCTACACCATCACAGTACTGTGATACATCATTTTTCACCTACTACCTCTATGATCCCAAAGAGGTGATAAAGCAGCTAAACTCCTCCACCTGCACCTGCACCTGCACCTCCACAATTTCTTTTCAAAGAACCCCTTAGACCCATCTATGATAAGCAACTACAGACCAATCTCCAATATCCTTTTTCCTAGTAAAATATTTGAAAAGGATGTCTACAAACAACTGCATAATTACCTATCCCTCCACAATCTATACGATGTGTATCTGGCTTCAGAACCAACCGCAGCACTGAAACAGCTTTGAAGCAGTCAGTGAAAACCTTCTATCCTAGTATTTCTAGAATGGACTGCAGCCTTAGATACTGTCAACCACAGCATTTTAATCAGTAAACTAGAAAATTAATTTGGGCAATGTGGCCGTGTCTTAAAGAGGCTCTCTTCCTATCTAACTGGCAGGACATTCTCTGTGTCTCTTGACAACTTTTAAACTGGCAATTATGACATTTTCTTTGAGGTCCCACAAGGCTCAGTTGTGTATTTCACTTTCACATGATATCCTCAGCCCCAGTAATGACCTTGACAACTGTATCAGTGACATCAAGTACTGGATGATCAAAAACTTTAAGGCTGAGACCCTGTTGGAGAAAACCATATTACCATTATGACCTTACTGCTGTTTACATTCTCCCTGACACAAATTTAAAAAAAGCACTGGACAATTACTTCCTGGGTGTATATGTGTATGTATATTTGTAAAGTAATAACTGTATAGGCCATGTTTTATGTTACCATATTCAAATGTATATCTAACTATCTGTTATGTTCTGTGTGCGTAGCATAAGGAGACTACAAACTTTCCTGCCCTATGGAATTTGGAGTCCAGGTTTTGTCAATAGTGCCAGTTCAGATCAATGTAAATGGGGGAAGAACTGGACTGTGTTAAATATATAATGTTGCTTCTTAAACTGCAAAACTTGGAAATTAGATGGTCATGGCTCAGAAGGTAAATATTTATATCTTACAAATAGTTTTTGAAAGACTTGTTTTCAGGATGAAAAAATGACGTCAAATAAACGTGTGCAGGTCAGGCCTTGTGAGATGACGTCGCTGTCTCTTTCTGTCATTACCTGGTGTAGGAAGATTCTATACATAATTGAAGAACACTGATTTTAACATTTTATTATCGTAAAATTGGAAGTATAATGAAATGTTATGCCTATTTCCACTTTTATTTCGCTGCCTCTACAAATTAGCAAAGACAGCAGAACAAATGACAAACTACATAATCATAACTAAAAGCCAAATTAGCCCTAATATCTTTCTAATTTCAGCAGCACCCACCACTAGAAGCAAATAAGGTATAGCCATAGACTGGGTATAGCACAACACTTGATCATAGAAACTGTGCAAGTCCATAGGCTGTATGATCCTGTATACTAGTTAAGATAACAGTACTAAAGGAAATTCAGGTGCAACAGCAGCAATTATATATGGTGAAAATAAAAGACAAGCAGCTTCTCCTGTCAGGCTGCACCTCTGTGGTATTTAATGCATAATATAATGAGCAAAATAAAACACGGTAATTATAGATCACATAGAAACTTTGCAAGATAAAATACAAGCCTTTCAATGAAGAGTAAATTATGGCTAAGTGAGAGATATAAGTCCTGAGTGGATCCAGAGGTTACTGAATCAGCTGTAGCTGTAATTTCCAACTTGTTGTGTGACCCAGTGGACAGGGACTCTGCTGCAGATGGCTGATCCAAAGCTGTGACACCAAGTGGTCCTTCATGTCCAGGTGAAACATCTTTGTCTGCAGGGGGGGAGGACAAGTCAGTGGGGAAAAACAGTTTAGCTTGCGTTAACCTCAAACACCTCTAGAGTAGACTTTAGGCCCTAATATGCAGCTGAGCAGGAGCCAGGAGACTGAGCATGGGGCAATAACAAACACAGGGACAGACGGGAACACTCGAAACACAATGAAGTGAAAGAACAAAAGGAGACACTATAGGAAAACACTGATGACAATCGCATTAATCACCATTCACTCCCTGGTCAATGACATCGGCAGTGATGAAGGTAGTGTCCTCTGTTTCTGATTAGCGGATGTCTATCAGGCCTCAACGTTACATCCATATGTGTGTAGTAATAATACCATACTAGGTCTGCCGGCTGAGACTTTATAGCTGCGCTGTTATGTTTTTCAGAGCACACAAACACTGTAAACACACACCTGTCACCTGCCCAGCATGGTGCTATTACCCAGAAACACAGCTTCTTCACCTTATCTTTACAGTTTATACACACAGCCCTCAGCGGGGTTAATAGCTGCATTTAAAACCTGCATGTACCAACAGTAACGTAACTCATGCAGTCAGCAACAGTTAGCCTAATACAGCTAACTTGGTAATGTTATCATATCTTATCTGCTGTACTGTCCGCTGCTTTCTCGTCAGATGGATAGCATTCCTTTCACTGTTGACTTTGTTTGTGAGGCCACATGGATAGAAATGCTGTACACTTTTAGTTATGGTAATATAAATGATAGTCCTCTCTCCAGCCCTGCTCACTTCCTCTGCTTGCTTTCATGGCAGTGTGCTGGCAGTCAGAGCTCCCCCTGCAGTCCATAAAGTGCCTCTGCGCCTCAGCCCTTCCAAACCCTCCCTGCAGCCTCTGGGACACGCCTCCTCATTTGCATACACGACTCAATCCTCAATCCCCAAATCCCCAATCCTCAATCCCCAAAACCCCAAAACCCCAATCCTAAATCCCCAAATCCCCAAATCCCCAATCCTAAATGGCTAAATGACTAAATGCCCTATCCTAAATACAAAATGCCCAATCCTAAATGGCTAAATGACTAAATGCCCTATCCTAAATACCAAATCCCCAATCTTAAATGGCTAAATGACTAAATGCCCAATCCTAAATACCAAAATCATTTTCGACTTCGACTTTTAGTTTTTTTAAACTTTTCATAATTCCCTATATAACAGACACTTAATAGTTTAGTCTGCCGTGAGCAGTAAATTGAGATTACAGACATTTATGAACCATCGTCATTTTGTATCATCACTTTTAATTATATTCCCTTAGATGCTCCATGGTATACAAACATGGAAATTAGTTTCTTTGACATATTCTGCAAATCTTTTGTTATTGGAATGGAAAGACATCATCACCGTCATTATTTCAGACATTTTGTTACGAAATCCTTCCGTTATCTCACCATGTAGAGCATTTGCAGCAGCTGAAGCTTGCATGCCAGTGGACACTTGCATACCACTGGTAGTTGTACTTTGGCCTCAGGATTACATGGGCATCCTTTGTGCAGCGCACCTACTCTTTCCCCACTAACCTCAGTGAAAGTGGAGCCTGCTGCATAGGAATGTATAGAAACACTGGCTCTTAACAAGAGAGATGGCCATTTAAAAATTATTTATGGATTTTTAATGCAAGGTTTATCAAGCAAAATAGCTGGATAAAAGAGGGTAACTAAAACTCAATATAAATCCAGCTTTCCTTGATTTTAACCTTCCTTGGATAACTGGAAATGACCTGATGACTAAGAATCTTCACAGAGCATTTTGGGATGATCACCCTCAGAATGGTATGGGAGTATGAAAGGATAGCCAGGAAAATTGCAGACTACAGAAACCACCTACGTTTAAACCTGAGATGCTGACAACATAGACTACATCTAGGCTCCGTGGAGAAAGGACACAGAGCTGGAATGATCCTGGAGAATACCAGCTACTGAAGAGAGTGAGACAGATCCACTTAACCACTGAAGCCTTGAGTAAAGCGTTTGACAGCTAACTCCACAAACTGGAAACACATCTGCCCAGTGCAGTACTAGAAAAGGTCACTGATTTCATCACAGCTATCTCAACACGCCAAAAGCAAGGAAAGTCCAGGGCCGCCAACTTTTCAATTTAGTTTGCGAGATTCGGTATTAGAGGTTAGTTAAATTTAGGCCTTCTGTGTCATATCCCAGGGGTCATCACAATTTAATCCTGCATGCACATCCACATGTATGTGTAGATGAAAAGCCAAGTCAATAATCATGGTCAGATCAGTGTGATCCAGATACATCCCAACCACCAGACATGATAGCCTTAATTTTGACCAACCTAACCATGTATTGGGGACTCTTCCCCCCAGAATCTATGTGCCAAACCAGAGACTGTGTTTCTTTTAATTCTAGGGAATGTATGTAATATTATAGGCTATTTCATATTAAGCAAACGCATAGGTTTTACTTTAGCAAAATTTTAGCATTAAACACTTAATTTTCTGCATTCTGGTGAAATTGTCGGCACCAATTCCTGCCTTTTCTACATCAGTTTATGGTGGAAATAATTTTATTATATCAACAGAAACACAAAACTCAGGCAGCAGGCGACAATTTAAAATATAAAATAACCAGAATATAATTCAGTGGGTGAATGGCTTTCAAGCATTCTGTATTTCTTTTTCTTTCATGATTTAGTCTTCCCTCCCCTTTGTCTTTGTTTGGGGAAGTAACCTCTTTAAATGTGGCACCTTTTCACCTCATGGATAAATGAATTCATTTTAATTCAGCTGAAAACTCCTGGACTGCTGTTCATTATTTGCTCTGCTGATATGATAGAATCCCAGACAGACAGACACAGAACCCGTTTGGGACTGTTTAGATGAGACCTGTGCAAAATGAAACTAACTGAAAACACTTCAAATCCTCACATGTTAACTTCAGCAGCTCTGTGCAGCTCACATTCCCAACAGAGCAAAGCTGTGCTTCAGATTGTATATAATTGCAAAACTCTTTCAGCTACGTTACCCGATCACAAACTGTCTGCCACTCACTGTGCGAGAGCGGGCTCGCATGATTCCTGTCACAGTGTCCGCTGGTGTTGCATCAGCTGGGTGGAGTGTCATCCCGCAAAATCGACGCTTTATAGGCTACATTAGTTTTTCCATTGCATGGGAAAATTGTTGTATGGCGTGAGGGCGTGTGAAAAGTGTCAATTGCGTGACTCTCGTGCTCAATGCGTGAGAGTTGGCAGCTCTGGACAGACCCGGCTTTCCAAAATCTACAGTCACAAGCCGGCAACACTGAGAAAACAGAAGAACTTACCTGGAGTGCAAAAGAAAGATAATTCCACACTGCATGAAACAAACAACAGTCAGATAGGGAACTTACCCAACTTGAGCACAACATCATTGCCAAAGGATTAAACTTTCACACCACAGCAGCTACCTATAGTGGACCTTAAAACAACAATGTCCAGTTGCCCTCGGATTTGCTGCCATAATTTTTGAACAGGCATGATGACTGAGAATTCCCATGATGCATGGTGGTGAAGTGAGTTTTGTTCAGATTTGCTAAGTTTCCTATTAGTTTGAAATACAAAATTTACTTTGTGATTAATGTTTTTTAAAACATATCTGCTTAGAATATAGTGTTTTTTGTTGGTAGGCTATTTGTCATTCTTGTGGTGGTTTACCATTGAAACCAGGAGTGAAGTACCTGTTTCATTTGATAAGAATGGCTGCACTGTTTAGTTTTTTTGACAGTAGTTGTTACTTACATGCAATTGTCTTGTCGTGTCCGCAAGCAACTGACAGAACATTTGCGGCCCAAGTAACGAGGCCCCTATCCAGCCGGGGCCCTGGGTCGGAATTTGTTCCGTTTAGGTTTAAAAAATATTTACGTTAGGACCGTGTGTTGCGTTTTATTGAATGTCAGTTGCTTTGTACAACTTTTGACACATTTGTGCTGATAACTCATGTAGTTTTCTCCAGTGTAAGGACGTGAAAGCAAGTCTTATGCAACACACATGTAACAGAAACAGACACATCAGATAACCAATATTATTGTCTTTATGTTATGGAGTAAAGGACACATGAAAAGTTGAATATCTGTGAAATTCCATTCAGTGAGGACATCAGCAAAAATATTTTGAACTTTCCAAGGAGGAGGGAATACCTTGAGGTCTGTCCTTACAGTTAGATATCAACATATCATCTTCAGTTAACATCAGAAACTGCTTTGACGATAACATTCCTGACCCTCGTCTGCCAGAATGTCCTCAGTAAACTTATAAACAAAAGATAACTGAAACAGTTATTCGTTGGAATATATTCATGAAATGTCTTCTAATGTAGTCTGTGTCATGAGTAGCTTCTTCTTTACAGGCTTATGTTGGTTGATTTTTTATTTTATTTTATAAAGACACACAAGGCAGAAGAATTGGTTTCCAGGGTTACTTTTGTAAAATAAGGACATCATAGAAGTGGTGGAAAAACATAGATAGAACTGGAAGGGATTTAGTCATTTCCCAAACCTCTAATAAGTCCCTTAGGTGGACTGTGGCGAGAAAAGTGCACTGTCCACAGCAGAATGAATAATGTAGGGGTTTGTGCATGTGTGTCTGCAACCCACCACACAATAATGATAATTGACCAATTAGGAGGTGGGGAGAAGCTTAAACACCTGGGGCTTATCCAGAAAGTTGAAACATTACGAAATAATCAGAGAGAAACAAGGCAAACATCCAATCAACATTTTTTTTTTGTCAGGTCATCAATAATGTCACGATGTTCCCCACTATCACATATTTTCAACATGATATGACATGACATGAACATAACTGCTGAGTGAGCCCTCTGCTGTGCAAGGAAACAAAGGTTTAGCTCTGCCATGAATTGTGTCAATTCCATGCAGCAAATGAGCAATAAAAACTGACCATCCTGCAAGGGATTATGGGATACCGAAGGGTGCACTTCTCAGCAAGGAGCCTTTTACCTGGTGTGACATAGTCAATCTCGAACTCGAGTTTATGGGAAATGTATTTTCTTTTTTCTTTTTGATAGAAATGAATACTAACAATCCCACTAGGGGTTCGACAGTAGCAGCCAATCATTTCAGCTGTGTTGACATTTTAAAAGAAACACACAGTCACGTTGTGCTTACTTCACTGTAGCAGTTAATGATGAAATGCCTTGCTCAGGGGCACCAGTGCAGCAATAGTTAATGACAGAGACGAGAAGGTTTCTGATTCACTTTCTCCCTCCCTGGTTTGAGCTGGTCAGGGATTTAAATTGGTGACCTTCCAGCCTTTAGTCCTGACTGACAGCCTCTAAGCCCTGTGCTGACACCACTATTGTCAGACTGCACTTTGATCCCGCTGAGCCAATAGCACATTCATGAATAAAGCAGAACCTGCCTTCCAATACTAAAATGTCTGTGGCACTGAGTGTTTTTATCAATAGTCTAGAGCAGGTACACTGTTTTCTTTCTTTAATCTGAGTTTACTGTACTTTTTTTGTCATACCTTGTATTGCAAAGACTTAAATTCAGCTTCTAAAAGTTTTATACTACTCTGTGCTGTAATGCTTTTCTGTTTTCTTTTCGGTAATGTTTCTACGATTCAGAGTACTTTATAATTTTGTGTATTTGGTCACAAAGAGATTGAAATCAGCACTCTCAGTCAGAGATAACATCTTATCAATTGTGGTGCTTCTGATTACTTCTACTGCAAATGATCTATAGTTGTTTTACATAAAGGATGCGTAAAGCCTTGGTGTGGGGCTAGTGGGTGCCCTCTGAGCTTGACTACCATTCTTGTCAACTGGCTA